GGGCGTGGGGGGGATGCCCTCGAGGGGGGGGCCCTACAAGAGCTCGGAGACGTTGACCGACGGCAAGCTGCGGCAGCCGTACCGGGGCAGCCCGGAGCGCCACGCCCACGCCCACGCCAACGGCCACCTGGAGCTGGGCCGGGTGCGGGTGTCGGTGGGGGGGCGCGGGGGAGGGGGGGGCGGCTACAATGAAATCCTGCTGGACTATATCTGGGAGAAGCAGCAGCAGCAGCAGCAGCTCCAGGGAGTGGGGAGTACGCGACCCTGGAGGGCAGAGGTCATCCCCAGCTCCGCTGGCGCCCCCTACGGCCCGGGCAGCCCCCTGATGCTGCGGGGCAAGCCCGGCGAGCCGCGGAGAGTCAGGGTGACGCGGACCAAGTCCTGCGGCCCCTTCATCCCGCTGCAGCAGCCCCAGCAGGAGACCCTCCTGCTCTCCACCTTCTCCGAGTCTCCCACGGTCCTGAGCGCCCCCTACCCCTCGGCCTCTGCCTCCCCCGGCGCCCCCTACCCCTACCCCTACATCTCCGAGCCCCCGCCCCGGAGGCCACTTCCCCACCCGCCCGAGGACGCCACCCGCTCCCTGCACAAGGCCCTGGCGCTGGAGGGGCTCCGAGACTGGTACCTGAGGAACGCCCTGGGCCACCCCCCCGCGCCGCCCCGCAACAGGAGGGCCGCTCCCGGGCACGGCCACGCCCTCCAGCCCTGCGCCCCGGAACCAACGTACCCCCAGTGCCACAGCACCCAGCTGCCGCAGTCCGCCACCTTCCACGGGCATCCGCTGCAGGGCAGGTGAGTACCCCACAAGGGGGCGCCGGGGTAACAGACGCCGTTCCGGTCCAGCCCTCGGCTGTGGCTTGGCAGCGCTTCCTGCTTTCTTGCCGATGGGCAACTCCATCTCTGAGAGCCTGGTTTTACAGTGCGGGCGCTCTGACTCTCTCCCCCAGGCCCTTGGAGCTCTCTCTGTACCAGGAGCCCCTGGAATCCCAGCTGCAGGAGCTGAGCCTGCGAGAGCAGGGCGCCGACCCGCCGCCCCCGGGCACGCTGGTCTGACGAGCACACGCCCGCGCCGGCAGGAGCGCGCACGCTCTCTAGGCGAGAGCCGCCTGCGATGGGCAGACCGCGACCAGGCACGCCAAGGCCGTGGGCTCTGTGCTTTCCTGGACCACGGTATTCCCGGGATCCGTCCGAGAGGCTCCACCGCAGTACGGCGTGGCGGTACTGTGGGCCAGAGCGGTGAAACGCAGCTCGGAGGGGTCAGGCCCAGGGAGGATCCCCCACGGACAGCTTGGTAAATCGGTGTGGGAGGAAAAACCAGGGCGAACCTGCCGTGCAACATTACTGTAGTGGACTTCCGCAGTGGTCACTGGTAGTACAGGAAGGCTGGATCTGATCTGTTACGGTCGGGAAACAAGGAAATGATTCTCAACGGGTTCTGCTGTGATCCGGACCCCCTGCCTGGTACAGCAGGTAATTCCTCACTCTCGCTGGCTTGGAAGAGCATCGTACAGGATGCATCGTTGACAGTGAAACAGACTTCATAAATTAGTGGATGACCTTATTTCAGACACAGGGTGCCAGCTGATACCCGTGTCTAGAGTGGTATTTTCTAGGCTCAACGGCCAAAAAACAGGAATCAAACTACTGCTTCTAACAAGCCTTGGGGAAACTGTGGCAGAACCTTTGTGGACAGGAGTGACTGAGATGCACTGTACAATCCTCTGCCCTTCTGCAGTTCGAGAGGAGAGCCTGCTCTGGACCGTTCAGGGATGTGGTTTCCTCTTCCTGGCGGGAGGGATGGATGGCGCCCGCTGCTGGGAGAAGGGGCTGCAGGGCGCGAGGCTCCTGGCACGTTCCCGTCCGTACAGGCCACCCTGCACTGTGGGTGCCAGCATAAGCCGGTCTTATGTCATTAAATTATAAAGTAATATTTTTTTCTTCTTGTCCAGTATCTTCCTGCTGCCCTGTGCCCCTGTAAGCAGAACAGTCCAGTTGTTACCGCCGTGGCCTGGGGGGGGAGACTCCCGCCTCCTCGCGGCGCACAGACCAGAGGTCCGCACACCTAGCGCTGACATCAGTGGGTTACAAGTAGTGCTGGGGCTTGTGTTCTGGGTGGAATCGCAGCTAATCCGCCTCTGGGCCGATCCCAGCGAGCCGGGCCAGTTTCTGCAGTCCAGTAGAACAAGGAGGGTTCTGTTTTCAACAGCACCCCCTATAGGCGTCGGCTGGTGACCCCGGAAGGGGATAGTATCGGGGCCCCCCTGTGTTGGTTTCGATCTGGGCGTGGGTTTGTACTGTGCCCTGTCGGGCGCGGGCCTGCGGAGCGCTCCAGCACTCCACAGGGACCCCGGCACGCGTCGCCACCCCTCTCGCCAGGGAAGGGCGTTCAACAAAGCGCCGCGGTCCGCGTGCGCTCGCCCGTGCGGTACTCCTCACGCAGCCTGCGCAAGCGTTTTGCAATGATGGCGGCAGCAGCGTGGCTACCTCCGGCTCCAGCCCGTGACTCCCCCACATTCTTCACCAGCATACGAGACCCCGCAGAGCAGCTGACCCCCCACTCCAGCGAGGCAGGCTCTGCCCACGGCCCTGGCCCCAGGTTCGACGTGGCTCCCGGTGGGCTGATCAGGTTAGCTGGGCGGAGGAGAGAACAGAACGGTTAGACGACTGTGTAGTTACATGGTCCACCCTCCTGATTCATCGGAAAGGGAAACATAGTTCTGCAGGTTCCTGCAGTGAAGGCGCCTATAAAGCAGGCTGTGCTTGAACTCTCAGCAGCGCTCATCCAGGCTCGTGATCTCCAGCCCTTTCCCTTCAGAGCTCCGACCCAGTGGAGCCCATTGAAGTTCTCCCTGGAAATCGTCAGAGTTTAGGCTTCAAAACTGGGAGCTTCTTACCTGCATCCTTCCAGGATCAGAGCTGGACTGAGCTGAACAGGAACAGCTGAACCGTTAGCATCAGTGATAAAAAAGTCACTAACTCAAAGTGTTAATTAGCCCCCCCTATTTTAAGAGGAGCTGGTAAACTCCTGGGCCTCTCCGAGACCAGGGGATGTGCACCCCATGTCCTTGAGGGTGAGTGACAGGGTCCTGTGGTTTTGATTTCTCCTCCGGTCCCTAATCCGTGATTCTTCTACTTGTAAAACCTGACAGACTCCCACCCTGGAGGCTTGAACTTGTCCGTTCCTGCCCCAGACGCGTAGGAATGACCAGCAGTTCCTTCAACCCCTGCTGCCTTACTCCTTCTCACCACTAGAGGGCTGTCTTACACAGGCTGAACCAGTTCTACCTGGTCAGTCGGTCCAGCCCTGCTGAAGTGCTGATCCGCAGTACCATGATGTCCACTGCTCCCCACTATTAAGAATTATGATCAGGCAGCCTTCACATCTCCTCAGAGATCATTAGTCTCCCTGTGCAGTAGATGGGTAACTGAAGTGTCTGGGGGTGTGTGTGTGTGTCTGTGTCTGGGGGTGTGTGTGCGTGTTTGTGTGTGCATGTGATTTCAGTCCGCGCTGCCACTCACGGCGCCACAGCGGACTCCTGTGTCCAGACTGACGCTTCTGCATGGAAGAGCTGCGGAGAAGAGGCAGGGTCTGTGCAGGACTGTGGGAGGGCCGACAGTTCACTTCCAGGGGTACAGGCAGCTGATCTTGACATTTCCACAATGACTTGAATTGTAATTTGAAAGGTGTAGATAGAGAAGACTATTATAAAGAAGAGACGCTTGCATTTCTATCGCTACTTCTGACCTTTGGGTCTCGCCTCCCAATAATACCAGGTGTTTTGGGGACGAAGAGAAGTTATTGAATATAAAATCATGCCACTTTTGAATATGTACTGGGGAGAGGGACTGTATATCATCTTTTTAATAAAGTGTCTTGTTAAAGCCCAGGTGTGTGTCTGTCTCTCTGTGGGTCTCTCTTAGAGTTCAGTCATCTTTGTCCAGGAAGAAGTCTCTCCAGATCCCTGGGGGAAATGGTTTCAGGCAGATTCTTGCACAACAATACAAGAACCACAAAGTGTTCAGGACAACCGGTGCTCAGGAGAGACAGATATTTACATCGTTGGAGAGTCAGGTTGCAGGGGGCTGTAACTTTGCCATTACACGTGTCTCCCAGAGGGGAGGAGTGTAAATTCACCATGGTGGGGGTGAGATGCACTCAGCCTTCTTTACAAACCCTCTGTAGAAGATAGGATGGCTTTGCTGCTCATCGTCAGTGCTTTTACCAACCTTTTACAGCTTATAATAATAATTGCTTACACTTATATAGCGCTTTTCTGGACACTCCACTCAAAGCGCTTTACAGGTAATGGGGATCCCCTCCACCGCCACCAATATGCAGCCCCACCTGGATGATGCGACGGCAGCCATAGTGCGCCAGAACGCTCCCCACACACAAGCTCTCAGTGGGGAGGAGAGCAGAGTGATGTAGCCAATTCATAGATGGGGATTATTAGGAGGCCATGATTTATGGGACCAATATTGTCATCGACTGTACCACACCTACCAACAGGTAGGACAGTATGTTACAGCAGTTTAAGTAAATGATTTGTAGAAAGGAGTTAAAATAGTTCTGCCCACCTTGATGAAGCAGTATTTACTAGAAAACAAAGCCATGCCAATAAAGCTTGATAAACTGAATATTTGACAGACGCAGTCACACAGACACAGAGACATGGATGCCTGTATCTATTAATCCATGCACCTGCATTATGACTGCAACAGGTGAAATAGTTCATTGCTCTTTATATCGTTCAGCTAGGTACAAAAAAGTCCTTTAAAGGCTGAGACTCCACAAAGGCACGAACGGGTTAATGTTTTCAGCTACAGCTCTACTACGCAGAGCGCGGTGAGGCGGCGTGATTTCTGAAAGTATTCGGGTGTTTCAAAAAAAAAATCTTTTCAGATGGTTAACCTACGGCTCTCACATTTACACGCTGCCACCATAGACTCTCAGTCGCGCATGAAGAGCGTCCAGAAAAGCCGGGTGCGAGGGGGATTGTGGGATAGGTGGAGGACTTCCTACGTCTTTGACAGTTGCAGAAAAGCAGAAGCGAGAGGAGAGCGGACTTGCAGCCGCCCTTGGGGGTGCCGAGACCGAGATCGACGCTGCGGGACTGACCGGCGTCGAGGGGCGAATTTCGAGACTCGGATGTATTTGCAGCGAATAGAATAGACTCCCCCCTTTCACACACACTTCCAACAAGTTTCGAAACTTGTTTTTTTTTTTCCCTCTTTTACGGCGAACAGTCGGTGCGTAAAGTTCACCGAGGGTTTTTTACGGAAGGCTTAAAAAGCGAAAACTTTTTTTTTCTCCTTTGTACAGAAAAGCCAGCGACTTCACCCTTCCTGCGCCCGGGACTCGTTTTGTTTCCGTGTGTATTGCAGTGTCGCTGTCAACAAAGTCCTGCAACTTTTCTCTTTTCAGGAAACGCGCTGCTGTCAACAGTTGGGCGGCCAACTGTAGCTTCTTATAATAACAACAACTTTTATATACTGCAGGTATTAGGCGACACGGGGTAGAATACCGTCAGAGGACACCAGGCACATCGAGGAGGTTGACGCTGTTTGACGTAGTAATGTAACTTACATAATCATACAGGTGTACACGGTACACCTGCTCGAGCAATAACTTGGAGTTCTTGCTCCTCTCTTTAGAGAGAGATTGCGAGCTGCCTGATTGAAGGTCAGACTGAAGTTTGACTGAAGCGACATTTCTCGGGGACCCCGCCGCCTGGACCCCCACCTGTCACCTGGGACAGGTTGCTTTCCTCGCCGCCCCTCGACCTCCTGTGCGAGTGTGTTGTGTTGGGTTGTTTTCTCGTTATCAGTTGATTCATATCTGAAAGATAAACGTTTATTTTTACACCTCAAAGGAGCGCACCGCTGGGATTGCTTGGGCCCCCAGAAATTAGAAAAAAGAGCGAGATGTAACCGGAGGTCGCGCGTAGACCTTTCCGAACGGTTCTCTTTCTAGAGCGGGTTCAACGTCACGGTTCCGCTTTGCGTTTCCAAGGTGCTGCTCTCCCCTTGATGTGATGTCGGAGTGACGGACTTTTAGGTCGTGTTCCTGCGTGCTGGTGTGGGGGCACGGTGCCGTCACCCCGGAGAAGGTTCCCCGAGGTCACCCGGCTGTCCGGTACGCGGGGGGAACCCCCTCTCCCTTACAACCCCACGATACTGAGCGGACAGGCCTGGATCTGATTTAAACACGCACACGCACGGCGAGAGCCTCCTTTTCAGCGCTGGGGAAGAGACACGCGTGTCAGAGTGCCAGACCGGGTCCTCGCACCTCGGGGCGAAGAAGGGAAACCGGACGGAGGTCTGACGCGTGGGGAGACCGTGTATAAAAAGTAGAACCCCCCCCCCCAGGACGTGGACGTGCCCCCCCATGTCTTCGGTCCTGTACCCCCAGCTGCCCGCGCAGCTGAAGAGGACCTCCGCGGTCAGGAGGGCCCTGCTGCTGCTGGCGGCGGCGTACGGGGTCAAGAAGCTGTACCCCGTCCTGCTGCGGCGGGCCGGGGCGGGCGAG